CCCCGGGGCTGACAGGGATCCCCCCGCGCCCTGACAGGGACCCCTGCCCCTCAGGGCCTGGCAGGGATCCCCTCAGGGCCTGGCAGCACCCACCCCTGCACTCTCCACGAAGGACACCGGGTGGGAGGCCAGCCCCAGTGCTCCCCGCATAAGCCAGGGGTGCTGCTGGCCGCAGCAGGCCCGCGCGTCTCCCCATGGGTGCCATGCCAGCTGCTAACACAGTGAGATGCAGCTCTCTGGAGAATGGAGGCGATGCCTTTTAGCCAGCAGATCCTAAAGGCTCCATGTCTGAGACAGCGTGATCTGCTGTCCTGACCAGGTCTGAGGGAACGTGCCGAGAAGAGGCGGACATTGCGGCTTGAGGGGATGAGAAAACATCTCTGAGGACAAGGTTTCCAGGGAACGGATTGGTTTCCATGTTTTCATTTTCTATAAATACCATGTGCACAAACATTTCCATTTCTCCTTGGTAATTTAAGGGCAAGAATATTTACCAAAAACAAACACGTAGATGGAATATTTTTTTCATGACAACCTGAAACAGGGGTTTTGTTTCCATTTGCTTTGATCCCAGTAAGAGCTGAGATGCTGGCTGTGGTAGCAGATGCTGGCAGCAGCAACTCCCCATTATATACACCGATGGGAAGAGGTAAACCTTCACACCTCTGCTTCCTTCTCCTGTCTGAACCAGGGTCACACCTGCTGCTGCTCCTCCCACCTCCTCCCCACACTCCGAGGTGCCAATCCTGTCCCCCACCCATCACTGCTGGGCTGGGCAGAGCCTCTCAGCTCTGGTCCACGTCCTCACACCACAGTCAGCACCTGCTGCTGCTCTCTGCTGGAACCCCCTTCCCATGCCACCAGTGGGGTGCACAGCATTGTTTGGGAACGTGTGGCCAGTTGTATATTATACAGAAAGAATACAAAAGTCCTAGTACTGTAGCAACGCGCTAGGGCTGAGTTATGGCATTAGAGCACACAGGATAAGCAGTAGGTAGTGGTATCCAAAATTAGAGTTGTAATTTAAGCTTTTGTTCCAACATGAATAGGGAAAGCATGTTTTCTATGTTTAGACATCCTAAAATAATGTTTGTTTTATTATGTATCCTATTGTGACATCCCGTGGTTAAACACAGTATTACAGATACCATCAAATCACAATTTTGACCACATGATTGCATAAAATTAGACTATATGGAATTAGCAGTGGTAACTCATACCTCCCAGCTTTACACATTCAGTTTGGCCAACTACAGCCTTCCACATAGCTTTGATCATTCTCCAAAAACTCTTCCTGGATGAGAAGAAAGCACATTGAGCCAAACATGAATATGGGATAGCGCACATTTCTTTGTGCTTGTGCGTTTGCCAGAAATTACATTATCTCTGCCCTTTCTGATAAAAGGCCTACGAGTCAGTATGTTGATTGTTTACATGCTATGCCTGTGAAGGACCATAAATCCCCATTTCCTCTTTAGGCAACGTTTGTGCTCTAAGGATTAAGCCTCTCCAAAGAGAAACAAGAAGCACCCAAGTCTTTGCACAACTGCAGTAGACCTCCAGGTTGTATAAAGCATAAGCATTAAATGCACTTATGCTCACATCTCTTACAGTATTACCAAAGATGATTTTTCCCAGGTCAAGGAACACAGCATTCTCTGCTATGCAAACTGCTCATCCTCCCACCTCAGCAAAGCAGGGTTGGGCACTCACAGCTGCAGGTGATTCAGGGGACTGCAATTACCCTTCAGTTAGTCCTAAACCAACACTCCAGCCCACCAGCCCCAGCATGCAGAGGAACAGCTCCAATGACACATGAAATTGAGGTCTTGACCCCCTGACAGCATCAGTAAGCCTTGGCATTTTTCTCACAATTAGCTGGATGAGAGGTCTACTTAGATCCCAGCTGGGAATTAGCATTGTTCATTAACAGCACATTTCCATTTCATCAACCTACAATATTTCAGGGCTCAAGCTAAGCAGCTGGATATTCATGCAGTTTTAAAGAGCCAAGATAGCTGATCAAGATAACAACAGATGGAGCATACCTGTTATGTCTTCACTTGTTAAAGCTTTTCAGGAAGACAGCAAGAGTAGCCTCTCCTGACAACACTGTATTTTGGCCTCATTCTCATTACATGGGACACAAATAGTTAATGCTACTTTCTCTGGCTTCCTTTTTACCCCAAACACAAAAGATACCCATGCATATCTAGGTTTCTATCTAAGGGGCAATAAATTATGAAGAATTATACTGTGCATGCCTCTGAGCACTAGCCTTCAGTGAATTGCTTAGGGAGGGCTTAGAAAAACTAGGTATGGCTTTATAAATCAAGTACTTCCAATGACATTCAGAAACCAAGAGGCAGCTTATATAAAACTGGCTTCATGTTGATGTATGCTGTTTGTCAAGCAGAATGCTGCACTGTGTGCCTGTTCATTTCCAAAAGGGTTGAGACATACGACATTGAGACATAGCTTCTATTTCAGACTTTCATCTTCAGAAACTCATAGTTCAGACTTAGTATGCCCTAAGCAAAGCTGGCTATGTTTCATACTAATTTTAGTCTTCTTCCTACCACCATTCCCCAGTTTCTTCCACCAAGTATTTTTCATAGCATTACAGCTCTTATTCCAAATATAGGAACAAATAAAGTTGGCTTGGAAAGGGTGACAGTTTATTGAATGTATAACACATTATGATACAAAAATAAGTTAATTGCATAGAAAATTTTAAAGACCTATAGACAAGATTAACTTTAAAGTAGACAGATGTTTGATCCAGATGTGAAGAGCCTCTACTATCTGCATCTGAAAGACATAAGAACGCACTGTAAGCTTTAGTCATGTAACTCTTTCAGTCACAAGGAAATACACCATGGCAGGGAAGGGCTTGGGCCATTTATTTTAATTCAGATGCTTGCCATCCTTTCCTCAGCATTCTGATGACTGTATACCATTTTCCCAGAACTTGACTAAGCCTCACACTGAGCAGGCGGGAGACCAGCCTGCTGTTACAACAATTTGATGTCCTAATGCTTGTGTCAATATAGCTATTTTAATCACTACAGTACAGAGAAGTGAAGATTTACTTGTGCTGTCAGAACCCCTCTGCCACATTCCCAACACTGGTCAAAGATCAGCTGCCAACTCTAGAGCAGTTAGTGGTATGACAGTGGCACTCCTACACCGTGTTGACATAAGACTATTTTTAAACAATCTTGTTTGTTTTTTCTCATTCTACAGCTTATACCTGTTGTGCTGAAGACTCCCATTAGATGGCACTCCAATTGCTCCCGTTGACTTGAAGGCAGTTTGAGAGGCTCTCATCAGAGCTGCATATCTACAAAGAAATACAACCAGGCTCAGCACCTCTTATGCACACTGCCGGTAGTTTCACTCTTCCATCAGTTTAGTTATCTGCATCTGTCACACAAGCCTTACAGTCCTATTGCACAGAACAAGAGAGGTACATCTGCCTGCAAGAGACAGATTTTTATTAAAAGTAAGTTTAAACTTTGCTTGGCAAGGTATTGATTTTATTCTTTACTTCAAGGTGCTGGAAAAAACTTTAGGATTCTAGTACTTAGATCCAGACCCCAAAGGGTACTTGAGATGGCCAGTGTTTATTCACAGTTAGAAGACACCGAGTCACACTATCAAGATAAGTAAGCTTGGAAGAATTTTAGGAAGGCATTTGACAAGAAGCTTTTATCTTGGCTCACAGACTTTCAGAAATTAGGCCCAAAATACAGAGAGGAAATAGTGGCTATTTTATTCAAGTGACCAGTAGTTCACAGAATTCCCTCTTTGTCTGAGCTCCCCACCAACCCCTGATACTAGCTCTGAAGTTTCAGCTTGAGCTCAAAGTATTGTAAATACAGCTTACCCTGCCTTGGAGGTGGGATGGCTGCTCCCTTTACAGTCATGATCCAGAGGATGCCGATGTTTTATGCAGAAGTTGCCACCACACTGTTCACAAACTACCTTCATCATCTCTTTCCTTTTGCAGCCTGGCTTTAAGCACTTGTTTGTGAAGATCTAAATAACAGAGGACATGAAGTTGGCAATGTTTGCTTGCTTTATGATCAGCTTCCCAAGTAATGACCAGGCTGAAGCACAAATGCTCAAGCGCCCTTAGAATTAAGGTGAAACAGAGCAAGCTTCTACACATTCTGCTGTCAGAAGACTAAGCCTCACACTGAGCAGGTGGGAGATCAGCCTGCTGTTACAACAATTTGATGTCCTAATGCTTGTGTCTATATAGCTATTTTAATCACTACAGTGTGCTTGTGGAGCATGCTGACCAAGCCTCACACTGAGCAGGTGGGAGACCAGTGTGCTTCACAAGCATTAGGCAGGCAGTTTAGACTTCAACAGCAGTTTCCTTACCCTCTGCTTCTGCTGGGCTGGATTGTATTTGCAGTCCTTATCCATGTGGGCTCCAACCACAATATCTGGTATTTCCCCCTTCTGTACTGGGATAGGTGCATTGCAGAGGGGACACACTGGAACCTGCACATTCTAAGAACATACAACACAGATCAGAAGTCCCACCCAATTATTTTTCTGTCCTTCCCCTTCTCTTACCCATGGGTGATAGAAGTGTTCACAAGTGGTTTACGTTCTACTCATTTACTAATGCTTTTAAAGATATACTTCACAAAGGTAACTGCAAATCATTACCCAAAAATTAGACAAGCTTTGCCAAATCAATTTCTAGCAACATATTTGGTAAGTTGACTTTAAATATGCTTCTAGGCTTTCTGGAATTACAGCCTTTGAATACTTCAAAGCCCAAGTATGGGCCAGAGATCAAACTTTGGCCCCACTTACTCTATTTCTTCTGTAGTTTCATGTTTGCTGTCCTTCAACTGAAAGGACTGGGGCTGCAGAAAGTTTTAGGCCACAATACATTACTTAAAATATAAAGCGCTCCTCTGGGAAGATGCGGTGTAAGTGAAAGTAACTAGAACCTAGCAGTACTGACCTCCGAAATGTTATGTTTCTACATACTTGAAATTCAGCTGTATCATTAACTCACATCTTGCGGTTCTCCCATGCACTTTTATTGAAACCACAGGTCAAGTTTCAGAGCAGCCTTCATATGTGACTTAGCAATTCTGCACTGTGAATTACTGACTCATGTATAGGAACTTACTTTCTTGTAGGCAGAGCTACACTTGTGGTCATCATAACGGATGTGATCTTTACAGAAGACTTCCCCACAAGCATCACATTTCAGAGGAAGGAAGTCTGGGAAAATGAAAAAAAAAAGAAAAAAGATTCTCACAGAGCAGAGCTAACAGCTGTAAGAGTACTTGCAAAAGACTACAAATAAATTCCAAAGCAAATTTTTGTCTAGTGACAATCCAATTATCTCAGGAGAAAGCGCATCATTCTTCATTAATATTAAAACTAAAAAAAGTAAGAGCGGTAAGTTTTGCCTCTTTTTATCCAGTGTTAGTCTAACACAGGCCATAAATACCTCAGGAGCTCCTTGAACACAGAAACGTTTAGCAAGGCATTAGTCAAGGGCTAGGAGCTGAAGTACAAATCCAAAGCCCAGGCTCAAAAGTATTTTTATTCTTTAAAAGGCATCCCTTAAGAGTTTAACAACACCGAGAACAAAGTACTCCGGGCTCAGCTATTACTCTCCACAAGACCCACTGAGGGGGGGCCACAGACGCGGCGCTGGTACCTGCTACTAACCACAGCGCCCGGCTTCCCGAAGAGACTCGGGGTTCAGGACGCTGGCCTCCCCGGGACACGCGCCATCCGTTCCTTACGGGCCACCCGGAGGGGGAGCCAGCCCACCTCCCGGAGCGCACACCACCACCACCCC